CAGTTGTACTAATTGCAGAACTTTTGGCATGAGTAATGCAACTGAGAACAGTAACAGTACTTAAGTGCCTTACTGAATATCACATCCATAGATTGTGGGTTTCAGTACTTTTTCTAAATAAGAATGATATTAAGCATATGCTTCAGTGCCTTCTTGAACGATGGGTATTAATACTAAGCATAGCACATAAATGAGTTGCTCAGCTGAAAAAAATGAATTAGTTATATGAGTAAAGTTACTTATGATTAAGTGTTTATAGGCTTAATTTATAAATTCAGTTTATCATGTTGCAAACAGCTGTCCCCAATTCTTATTAACGTGTGTGCCAGTGTTAACACTCAACTAAGTCATTAGGAAGAATATAGATTTGGCACCATTTTCCTTAATAAGAATTGCTACGTATACTTCACACACACTGCCGTAGCTCAACAGGAAAGGTCTTGGTCTATGCATTGTCAGGATTATTTAGTCCAGAAGCACATACCATATTTTCTTTCATATCACTGCCCTTCCCATAAGATATTCACCTGTTCTGAGAAGACAGAGTACTGGAAAGTTTTTTTCCAGTCATGGCTGAATACAGGCTTCATTGAGTAGGGACAGAATCTACTTTGTCATTCACTCTCTTTTTGCAGCTAAAGAACCCTTTCTTCCAGCTGGTGCCAAACTGGCAGCAGCTCTTGGCTGCTTGCTTTAACCCTCTTACAGCCAAAAGTGACTGCCAATTCAGCTGTGGCTGTGAAAGGGTTAAGACTTTAGCTGCGAAAAGAGAATGAGTGACAATGAAGAGTCTACTCTACCCCTCCTGCATGCCCAGCACAGAGCCAGCCCTGGCAGCTGTTACAATGTCCACATGCCTCCATTCTGGCATGGAAGCCATGCACCCATTTTTGGAAGGCTAATATTTAGAAAAAGGTGCATGTAGTTTGCCAGTAAATAGAATAGATTTTTTTTTAACTTGGTTAAATCTCTGTTAAATTAGGAACAGATGATACTAAATATAAATATTGTTTTAGATAGTTTTAAGGAATGGCTGTGGTGATGCACATTTATTTCTTCAGTACATGAAGACAGACTTGTGCTGAATATATAAAATGGGGAATAACTAAAATTTAACTGAACTCATAACTGACTTCTCCCGCCTCCCAAGTTTGCCCCCCTATTCTATTACCAAAAAAAAGCAAGAAAAAAAAAAGCAAACTGATAACTAGATCAGAAGTTCAAGAATTCCTCTCTTCAGAAAGGAGCATACCCGAACTTTTGCAGTTGTAGTGAGAGGCGTGTAAGCTGTGGCTTCCATGATTTCTCTTTTTTCTTGTTGTGCCTCTGGCCCAATCAGCACATTAAAGTTAGTGGTTAAGTGGCGTCTCAGAAGGGTCTTTTGAGGTGGAATGTTAAGCAGCATTGCCAATGTGTCGCCATTGAAGCGAGGTTCAAGAATCTATTAAGCAAAAAAACCTGATAAAGTTTTGTTTGTTATATGGCTGAATCTTTGTAGTGTCAAACAGCTTTAAAGAAAAGATCATCCTACAATGCTAAGTAATTAAGAACATACCAATGATTATAATACCAAAAGTCCTAAAACAATATTAAGGGAAACCATTGCACTCAAAGCTTCCTGACTTTACTAAATTGCTTTTAATTTCTTATCTCCTAAGTCCAAACTAGTTCCCTTTCCTGATTGCTGGTGTAAGTGCCTCAGCAGCACAGTATGTACTATTCTTTATTTGTGACAGACTTCTGGCTCAGAAGTTGAGTTTGATCTGTTTGAGGTACTCTGGTGATTGTCTATCAGTAAGTAATTTCTACTAAGTAATTTATTTCTGAAATATTCTGAATAAGTACTAAAATACTCAGAGGCACCATCCTGCTTGTAAAATTAATTTGCGTGTAGCAGATTCAGAATGTTTTCAGATGGTTCAATGCTGCACAAACTAAATCAGACTATAAATATGCAAGTACATATCTCCTTCCTGTTTCATGTTTGAAAATTAAGCAAAAAGTTTTGGTAAGGTTACTTGGGGAAAAAAAGGTTAGTATATTCATTAAAAAAATGGGGAAAAAAAGAAAACAGTTCTCACAATGAGACCACCGTGAACCCCACTCCCCCGAAGATTTGGCGCATATTCTGCCAGATCTACTGATCTGAGCCATTCCATCACTCTGTGATTAGACCACTGAACTACTTCTGAAGGTGAAATGTTCTGTTAAAGAAAAACAAAAAGATGATGTGACAATATAATTATGTGGCAAAGTACTTCTTGATGAATAGTAATATATGCACCTAGCTCCAATTCAGATAAGACAACTGGTAAATGCTTGAAAAAGATTTAAGCACAGCAAGTGGATTTATCACTCATGCCTGATTAGTTATCAGTTATTATTAAAGTGTTCCTTCTCTTCCCCCCAAATCAGTATCCCCCAGTTTTAAGGTACTCGTCTTAATTTCTCATACTTCCCACAGAAGAGAGGTAGACTCTTAACTGACTAGTGAGATGGTAAGTTAATTCTGTTAGTGGTGGAACCCATAATAACTTCTCTATCAAATAAAGCAAGACACCAAAAATACTATGCAATAAAAGAATGCTTGCCTTGCAAAAATATATTACACTGTTTTGTATTTCTGAGGAGCCTAATACTGTATTATCAAGGCACCCAGTACAAAGGTTTCAAATACAAATGCTACCCAGAGTAAGGATAAATTAATATTGGCTGCTGGAAATGCTGCTTAAGGTGATCAAGAAATCAGAGAAACTAAGGCAGCTAAGGAAATAACCATGAAATATTCAAAATAACCTATTCAAACAACTTATGAAATTTTGATATACACATGACTGATCTGCTCACTTTGATAAAAGTTAGGGGGGAATGATGAAAAATGGTTAAATCATTTCTAAGCAAGATTCGTTGAACATTCTCTGAATATTCAATGATTGTTCAACCAGCTGCAGAATTCACAAGTAGCCTGAAACCTGAAAGCTTGCAAAGAAGTAGTTTTCCAACCATTTGAGTTCATCTAATAGAAGATCAGATTTAGCCAAAGAACCTTGTCTGCAGATAGAATATATCCATGGCCATTACATTCTATTCCACTGACAGTATAAACCTGATCCCCATGAGCATATTTGGTAATATGCTAAGGTATGGGTCATATACCTTGCACTTTTACAAATTATTCCATAGTATAAAATGGTAGTTTTTCTATAAATTCAGTTTAAGCTATCTTTTTCTTGATTACATCTCATTTCATCCAGTTATACACCAGGTACCTACACAAGATACTGGCTTCCCTTCCACACAGGAACATAGAAGACAGAGTAGTCCTATGCATTTAGGCTTGGTGCAATGAAAGGAGGTCTGCATTATCTTACACTGTTTGCCTCCTAGGGTTGTGGCATTTCCTTTGAGGAGATTCCAGACTCAGCTCCTGGCAGCCACAGCTTGTACATTGTACACTATGTTAATTTCCCTTCACACTGACCCTTGACTGATGTGGGATAAACAAGCACTGGTGGTAACACTAGACTTGAGAAACAATTTCTTTTTTACCTCATTGACTGGCCTCCTACGTAGGCAGTGGGGATTGAAATTGTTGACATGCAGCACATGAATGGCACATTTAATACTGAGATGATGCAGCTGGCTGGTGACTTTCAGAAAGAGAAGGTCATTCTGAAAAGAAAAAGCTTAATTAAGAGCATAACATACTAAAAAAAAAAAAAAA